ATGGTTCACAAACGTGAAGATTTGCTGCTTTTACTTTTGATGAATTTAATGTATTTTTAATCATTTTGAAGTTTGGAGTAACAAAACAAGCCTTGTGAAGGTGTCACTCGGGGAACTGTGACAACATTTCTCACTATTTTCAGAATTTATTACAATCGATTAATGGAGAAAATAATCAGCTGATTAATACATAATAAAATGAATCATTAACTGCAGTTTGATACATTAATATAAAATAGTGTACCTCAACCAACTACATTAAAGCATGAGGAATAATAATCTTATGATATAATATATAATAGTTATAATATATATATAATAGTTTATATATATACTTATCTGGCATTTAGTAGGCAACAGGGAACGCTATGAATTCAGCACAACAATTATCGTCCATTTATTGAATAAAGCGGGGCAACTTCGAGGACGTTATCTCTTAACTTACTTAACTAATACAAGGTGTGGCGTGTGAGCTGGCTAAAATGAATGCGTCTCATGGTGAATGCGTGAGACTTGAGAGCCCTGGATATTTTTGCTTGCTGAAGAGTTTTGCTGCTGTGTGACATGGTACTGTAAAGCGTTCTCGTGAAAGGTTTCCAGTGCTACACAGTTTTACAGGTAAAGATATTTTTAAGACACATTTTTAGATAAAATGACTAAATAATGTTGCTTTAATGTGAGGAACGTTACTTATCGCTTCACACATATCTGAGGTTTTTAGCTTCACTTTAAGTCACTGCTTCATGTACGTCAGCATATGTTCATGTAGTCTGTATTTCCTTTGAGAAACAATAAGACACAGTAAGATGAAATTAAATAAGACAATATAGATGGTGATAGGAGATATAAGGAGAAAGATTAAGGTGAGAAACATGATGGAATAAGACCATAAATTTGAGGAGATACAATAATGACACAAGACAATAAACACATGAAAATAACACATCAGTGCATCTTATATGAGAATAAAAATCTGCAAATAATAATTGGCTAACATTAACACGCCACACTGAATAAGTCAAACACACAATGGTGGTTCAGTCTGATTTGAGGATTTTTCTGGACTAGAAGTAAAAACTGTCTCACTCACACACTGACAGGCCTCGCCGTCAGCCAGCTGGTTTAATTGGGACCGAGTGTGAGTTTGGTGGATTATCCAGAGTTACTGGCATTGTGTCAGGAAAGAGGCTGCTGTCATATTTATTTTTCAACACTGTGAGCAGTGCTTGAAGTGGGGAAAAATAGGTGCCAGTACCCCCCCCCCCCCCAACCACAAGATGAAACTAGTAAATGTTATAACATTAACAACTTTGCGCATTAACCACTTAATTTCCTGCATTCTGAACACATTTTCTGCACCAAGTTATGGAGGAAACGTCCTACATCAGCTTCTGTACGGACAGCTGCATTCCAACACGCACCAGGGTGAGTTATAACTATGACGAACCCTGGTTCACTGCTAAACTCAGACAGCTGAGGTTGGAAAAGGAGGAGGCGTTTAGGAGGGGAGACCGGGCCGGGTTTAAGGAGTCAAAGTACAGCTTTAGCAAGGCGGTGCGAGATGCTAAACAGCTGTACGCAGAGAGACTACAACGCCAGTTCTCAAGGAATGACTCAAACCACAAACGGTTTCAGGTCCATCAGGACCAAAACCTCTCACCACAAAAACAGTTTCTACCCGTCTGCAGCCTCATCAACAAGGCCCGGGTCCCCCACTGACCCCCCCTTCAAATAATACAATCGACTTTGCACATAAATAAATATCACTTCAAGTCATATCATGCACGAACCTGGCACATTGAACATATTTGTTGTTAATTGTAAATTGTTGTTGTTCCATTGTTTATTTTTATATATTGTCAGTTTTATTATTTTTCTCTATTCTGTTATTCTTATATAACTTGCATTTGTTTATTACATATTTATTTATTTCTACATCTATTTATGTCAGCTGTATGTTTGTCTGCGTGTAGCATCTTAACACCAAAGCAAATTCCTTGTATGTGTAAAACACTACTTGGCAATAAAGCTCCTTCTGATTCTGATTTAACATTTGTTGTTGCTGTTTTACAGAATTTTTTACAAAAGCTTTCAAAAAGTGATGGATTCTGACCTGTCCCCAGCGTCTGTCAACACTTTTAAATGTCCCGCCCCTATATTTCTCTTGGTCGGTTCACAACAAGTGACACTGACAGGCTACATTCACACAGAACAGGAACAGGTGAGCGTCGCGTGGCGCCCAGAGAAGCTGATATGGAGAGGGCAGAGGACCGGCAGCTTGGGAGAAGTCCCGGTACGCAAGAAAATGTCCCGGGACGCCAAAGAGTAAAATGTTGAGGTGTCGGTACTGCGTGACGGGGCGCTCCGGCCCACTTCAAGCACTGACTGTGAGCAATGCCACACACTGCCATTGCATCAGGGTGGACACAGAAATCTCAGGGACGGATTTCTTAAGACACGACTAGAGATAAAAAAAACCTGACCCTGCATTCGCTGTGACCTTTCAGCATTTCACCGTTTACATTTGAAGCTGCGGACGTGCTGTCCGAAGTGTTAAAGGTGTGAAATCCAGCTGCAGTGCTTCTTGTTTTAGAGTTTCACACTGAATTCTTCTACATGTGGAGTCGTTACAGCCACCAGCTGGGTCGACCGCTGAGTGTGTGGAGATGAGGAGTCAGGCTGCCCTGCTCTCCTGCGGTGAGTCAGCCCCACACTGAGGTTTGAGTGTGGTTTCTTATCTGCAGCACCAGTTTCAACAAACAAACAAGAAACTCACAGAGCGAAAAGTGCTGCAGCCAGGTCTCTGATATTGCAATCTCTGCAGATGGCTTTGTACTGTGTGTGTGTTTTTGTACTGTGTGTGTGTTTTTGTACTGTGTGTGTGTTTTTGTACTGTGTGTGTGTTTTAGTGTGTGTCATGCTGTGATAGCAGAGATGAAAGTCGTCTTCGGCTGTCAGCACCTGGCAGGAGGCGGAGTGAGTGTTTGTTAAAGTGGGTGTAAAATGTGAGTTCAAAATGAATGACTTGTGTTCATGTAGTTCATCACTGTGTGTGTGTGTGTGTGTGTGTGTGCACAGTGGGTATAGTTCATCACTGAAGTCAGTAACGAGTGTCGATCCTGCAGCGGCTGATTAAAATAACAACCTGCTCTGAACCCGAGCAGTCTGACGTTTTTCTTGATGAAAACTACACCACCTGGCCAAAAGTATGTGGACACACAGATATTACAGCCATATGCAGTGACGGACAGGCCATCTGGAATTCGGGCAAATCGCGATCTGCTGTCCCTGTACGCTCCGGCGCCTCGCTCCCTCTCCGGTACCTACGATGGGTTGTGTCGCTAGTACGAGTCATGCGCTCTGAACAGTTCGTGCTGCCTGGATGAATTTTACCATGCACTACTGCAGCTGGGGGCTCCCCGCAGCGCCATGCAACTTTCTAAATTCTTCCCTCTTACAGAAAATAGAAAGGTCAGGTTGAAACGCAGCTGCAGCTGTGTAGCAAAATGGCTAAATATGTTACAATAAGAAGACAAAGGGCTGCAACTAATGACTATTTTCATAGTCGACTAATCTGTTCATTATTTATTCGATTAGTCGACTAGTCACGATTATTTTCTTTTTTAAAGCTGGGTCTCCGACAGCGTCGTGTTGGACAGATTTGCGCTTCGGAGAGAGAGAGCGCGACGAGCAATGGCCCTGATCTGCAATCAAATACGATTTTAAATAGGTCTAGTAAAATAAAATAACAAACAAAAATCACTATGTGGAGGGCCGCCACAAATAAATGAACGACTAGGAAACGCTGCCTTTCCCCTGTTGTTGCTGCTGCAGTGGTCTGAGTAACTGGGACCAGGGCGCTCTGTGGGCGGGGCCACTAACCTCGCGGGAGCTCGTGGAGCTTCTCAACCCCCGAAAAACGTTTGAGCACATTTTTGATTCGCCATCAACTTTGGTAAAACTGCCAATATTCAAATTCTACACAGTTGATTTTAAGACTCAAAACCGCTCACAAGTGTATTTAGTGATTAAATAAACCTGTAAAAACAAAAGCCGTTCTGCTGTTCGCCTCTTTCTCCGTTACTTTCCGCTTCACGCATGAAAGCTTCTTCCTCGTGAGTAGTGTCACAGTCGAGCAGTCATGGCACTTCCTGTAGTGCACTGCAGTTAGAAATAAACAACCAGAAATGCTCTTAATATAAATAATTTCTATCTCTTCCTTAAACTGCATCTATGTAACGATGCGTCGAAGAGGAAATTTCCCGTCGACCAACTATTATAGTCGACGTCATCGATTACGCTGACTAATCGTTGCAGCCCTAAAGACAAACGATGGCTGATACTTTCACATTCAGGCCTACATGCTTGCTTACTGATTCAGCAGTGAGAATCATCCCGTCCCAGGGGAAAAAAACATGAGCTCCCCCGAAAGCTTGATGATATAGTTTTCACACTAATATTGTCTTTGAAATTTTTCAAAATTTATTAATAATACCAGTAATTGAGCATGAGCAATAGGATATAAAATGCACCTGGACTCCTTCGCAGCTTGTTAACTACATGTTGGTCAGACACATTTATTTATTATACTGTCGCTGCAGTGCTCTTTTCGTAATGTAACATGCACTGGCCTACTGCGAATGTCCCATACCGCCTATAACGCTCTGCCGCCGCTCTCGGATCTTAAACTGTCACCGTGTCACATGTCGTGCGTGTTTGCTATGTGTTTCAAATGTCTGTATTGTAGCTGTGTGGATTTATACTTTTTATGCCAAAATTTGGATGGGTTGCTGTCGGGTTTGGGTTTGAAAACAGGGCTGTTGTGTTGCGTCACTGACCATACGTAATAGTTAGGAAACTATAACAACGTCACCAAAACTATTTTGGGCAGAATGCATGATGAGGCAACCCCGCAGCAGGGAGGCACTTCAGATTTGCCAAATCAGATTAAATGTTGATTATGACCCCTGCATGGATAATTTGTGTGTGTGTGTTCTTACCACGTCCATGATCTGCAGCAGGCTGAAGCTGAAGTGGACGGTCAGGCTGTGGGAGTCGTTGCTGACCGGTCGCTCTAACGGGTTGTAATTCCTCATCAGCTCCTTGTAGAGACGCCGCTGATACACACCCTGCAGGGAGCCTGAAGACAAACACAAAGCACGTAAAACAAACACCAGGGATTCAAATCAGATTATAAGAACTACAAGTGTGACATTTCAGGCGTTACTGGCTGTAGATTTGTTGGAAATTACATCAAATATAAAAATGATTGCTTGGTTTCCAATGGACACGGCTCTCTCCCGAACCTTCTCATCCACCTCACAGTGTGAAAACACAGTTTGTAATGTCAGTGATCCAGGAGAGTCTCGGTGCTGAGGGAGAGCAGTTTAATCCCGTTACTCTCTCTCACACTCTCTTACATTCTGCTGTCAGTTCACAGATTATATCAAGCAACAGAGAAACATACAGTTCACTACAGCACTTGTGAAGCCATAAAGCAGAGGTCTAAGGCTCCGTGTTAAAGGATGGAACATACGCAGTTTCCTGGCTGAGGTTGATTTTAGACTGTGCGACAACAACAGCGACTGTGCGTTGAATGTCACGCTGTGCTGATGGATGGTCGTGGTCTGTGTTCAAAGTGGGTCCTTATTTAGTCCCACATTTCTGACTCTGACGCATCAGACTGTCTTTGGTCTCCAACGCTCCAGATTTTGGTTTGACGATCAAAGATTGTACCGCATTTCTTCCACGATTGTGACCTTTCATCTCAGACAGCCCAAAATCTCAGTACGCTGTAAAAGGGCCTTAAAGGCTTTATGGCCGCTGGTTACATCAGCCTCAGTAAAGATGAAAGCTCGTCAAGATGACTGACAGGTGCTGGGTGAGAGCCTGACTAGCTGTGGGGGGAGGTGGCGGAGACTAACGGCACACTTGTCAGTCAGGTCCCCGTGCTCAGGGTCACTGTCAAGGCGTTTGAAATCCAGAGGACAGGAGCTCCGGCCAACAGAGACATTTTTCCTTTTAGTGTCTGTTTCCTGGCCATGTATGTTTTACTCAGTTCCTAACGCTCATTTTATAGCTGCATCCTTTGCTTTAAGAAGAAAAAAGGTTTAAAGGGGAACTTGATGATTTTATTGGCCACGGTTAATCCTACTCAGCTGATGTCATAGTGATGTCATCAGGGTTATCCTAACTTGGATTTCGGAGACTAGGGATTTATAACAGAGAGCCTGCGTTACAAACTGGAGGTGAGAAAGTTTGAAAGCTGTGGCTGTTTATCGGGCACGGAGGGCTTAACGGAAACAAACTATGAAGTTGCATCATGGGAAATGTAGGAACCAGTGTGTTGGAGTTTGACTCACAATCCCCTCACTTCATGGAAGTGCAATAACAACACATTCTCACTCCCAGCTCGTCACATATGGACGCTTGGTCAAGAGCCCTTGGCGTCACGTTGTAACGCCCCGGGTGCCCTTTAACGTCGCAATTTGGTTTGGTTTAGGCACCAAAACTGCTTCATCAGGTTTAGGAAAAGATCATTTGGGTTAAAATAAAACACGGGTTTCCTGAATGAAAGTCCCGTCCACATCCCGTCCTACAGGGCTACAGTCCGTTGAACTATGACGCCGAGGGGCTTCCCATTGCCCAAGATTATTTTTCTGTTGACATTTTAGCTTTTATTTGATATTTTGGCAGTAAAGACGCAATGGGAAACCAGCGGATAAAGCAAGGGACATGACATACAACGGTCCCAAGCTGGAAATGAACCAGGAACATGGTATGCACCTTCGGGCCCCAGGAACACCACATGTTTAGATTTTATTTAAACAAAAATATTTACTAATTCAACATCTAATGCATTGACTAGTATTCCAAAAAAGAGAAATCATTTTTTAAATACATTGTGTTGTATCTGTGTTGTCTGTAAATGTTATTTATTCAAAGGGAGTGTAATTAATCCTAAATAATGTTCTGAATGTTGCTGGACTCTGAAGTTCAGACTGTTTTTTAGAGTCTTAGCAGAAGAGATAATCACACAGCTGACTTAAAGCTTTAAAAATTCAGAGGTTTTCTTTTTGATCTAAAAAAAAAGTATCACTTTGAAACATTGCATTTGTAAAAAAACGTCTCGGGTTCAAAATTGTGTCATGCTGAAGAAGTGAATAATCGGACGCCTGAAACTGGCAGGAAGGTGTTCAACCTCAGACAGATGTAACATCAGGGGCTGTGACACGTGATAGATAATAATACAGAGTATGTCAACTTTAAGCCTTGCCGTGTGGACGCTGCACACCGGAGAGCAGCTCGCCATCCAAGAACGTGTTAATTCTTGTTTTATTTTGTGTTGAGCTGCGTTTAACTTCCTGCAGTTATACTCAGACTCCACAGGCCCCAGTCACGTGTTCAAGTGAAGAGCCATTGCCATTCTTACATCTGCCTGCAAAAAAGCATTTCCAGTGCCGCGTCCCGACCCCCCCAATGGCTCAGAATGGATAGATATTGTAAATGAGATATATGTAAAGGAAGCAATTACCTTTTCCGTTCGTCTTAAGAAGAGTATATTTGTTAGTCTGTGGGTTAAATGGGTCAAAGGCCCTTAAGACCAGACTGCAGCAGAGGTGCTGAATTAATGATCCTGTGTTTTATTTTTTTCCATTCCTTTTATGACCCAAACAATGTAGTTATTTGTATATTTTGTAATGCACAAGTTTTTCTCTCCCTAACTGTTCAGAATTTCCCAAAAAAGAGCCAAGGAACTGAGGGGAAACATTCAAACATGTGGCCAACGCCTCAGGTCAGGACTTAGCGGTTTAAGTCAAGGAGGCAATTAACAACCGGCCGGAGGGACCATCTCTTAACAGGGGAGTCCTGTCCTTTCGTTGCTTCTCAGAAAACTAAACAAACGCTCACATTTTGGCCTCACATGCCCACCAGCCGTCACAACAGCCAGGAGCACTAACGAACCAAGCGCACTCCATCACCTTGATAACGACCCCACAGAGGTTAAACAGATAACTGTGACCTGGATGACTGACAATCTTCACAGATATTCAAACATGTCTTCAGCTTCTTAAATGGCGTCTGCTGTTTAGCATGTTTCCATCCACCTGGTTTCATGTTCTATGTTTGTATGAGTATTTGGGCATGAAACACTGGATATACATTTAAAAAAGGTTCGAACACCTGGCTGAGGTGTAACAGTTGGTGTATCGCTAAAAACAAAAAGCAAGAAACTGTGAGTGAATAAATGCTGACCAACATGAAGCAGGGACTGAACGCATCCGATGTGTGTGGAGCGATGAGGAGGCTGTAACCTTCCTCACATTCCAACACATGAAACTAACAGAAATGTCTATCGTGTTTTCCGCGAAGTTGTCCGACGCCAATGAGCTCATGATCACACAGCAGCAGCGGGTTAACATTTGCTCTACTGCGGGATAGAAACTCAGTGTTTGCGATCGCTTTAATGTTCGAGGTGTTGTTTTGTCTGTTGCAGTGGATTCAGTCAATCAGAAAAGCTTTATCTTTTTAAATAAAGCTTTACAAGAAGAAGTGATTTGATTCTTTTACGATATAAGCTGTTTTTAAAACACTGTTAACCTTGCAGAACTTGACTGTTTCTTATTTTTGAGGCCACAGTTTGAATTATTGTTCTGTTAGATTGCATTATGTTAATATTTTGTCCCGTGATATTTGTCCACCTCCTGCATATATTAGAGACACATCTTCAGAAATTCAGCTTTGACATTTAAACCTTGTGAAAAATAACATTTCCTAAGCAATTTTCCACCTTTTGATGGTCGGCTTTAGTTTTGCATGAACTGACTTTGGAGTTGCTGTTTTTATAACAAGAGAACTTCTTGTTATTTTAGTTTTCCTTTGTGTTTGATCTGCAAGCCAGTTATTTAAACATGTGTGAAACCAAACTAACTGAACAGCTAGACTGATCCATGACCACCGAACACGCTGAGGTGTGTGTGTGTTTGTTAAGCCTACCGTGAATGAGGCAGCAGAGCGTCAGGACATGCAGGGTGAAGATCCGGGCGTCCATCCTCGGCAGCCGTGAGTCACAGAGACGAGAAACTGACCGGAGTTCCTCGTGCACCGACAGAAAGCACCGGAGAGAGAGACTGAGAGGTGGACACGCAGAGAGAGGGGGGGAGAGAGAGGAAGGATCAATAGAGGATTCGCTCGGAGGGGGGAGAGGGGGACGCTCCTCCCCCTAAAAGCATGCAAAGGAGAAGATTCGGCAGCTGGAGACACTGAGAGGAGGCAAGAAGAGAGAGAGGGATGCTGTGTGTGGATGAGCTGCTACCAGCATCTTTGTACTGACACTGCCAACGTGTCTCATTTGTTTATACCAAACTAGAAATGACTCACTGCATCTCTGCCAAGGCTGCATGGTGCTCTACTCTGGACATTTTCATACTAGAATATTTTCACAAAACAGATGCTTCCCATGAAACAGAATTCAACCAATACTGTTGGTCCAATGTTTAAATCACCTTTTAACCCTCATCAATTTAGATTATAATCAAAATATATATAAACTATTAAAACTGAGCAGCATCGTCCAACATCACATTGTAAATCTTGATGTTTTGGTTCTCATTTTCATTGGCTCACTGTGATTTATAATGTTCCTGTTCTGGTTTCCACCTCAGACACAATTGTTTCATTTTCTTTAATCGTGAAATTCTTTGCCACTTTCTCTATGATGTATCTTCAGGGAAACAGATTTCCTTAAAGCTGCAGCAGCAAATTCATCTTTCCATATTTTCTAAAAATGAAACTATATCCTGACAGCAGTACGGGAGATGGATAATCTGTTGAAAATGATGTTCTGGGATTCTTGAAAATGGCATTGGGAGCAGGCAATCAGAGCCAGGAGCAGTCTCTAACGCCGAGTCAATCACTGCTGCACTACAATTAAAAACAAGTTATAGTTAAATATATGAAAAGATCATCTGCAAATAAGTCAAGCTCAGTATCTTCAGTGCAGCTTCAGAGGTTTTGCAAACACAATGTCTGAGAAACAACCAGCAGCAATGAAAGAACTGCTCTTCTCTCCTTTGCCAACAGCATATAGAACAAATCACGTCCCGGCTCCACACAGAGCTTTGGGCTGCTTTAGGCCCCGCCCACACTTTTGCTACGTCTGCTCCTCCCGTCCAGACTAAAACGGCCAAAAACGAAGACCTGAAACGGAGAAGTTTGGAAACGCTGCCGACCCCGTTTTTCCGTTTCAAAACTCCGGAGGGCGTTTTAATGAAGACGGGCCAAAACGGAGGACTTTAGAAACGCGAAACACGAAGCTACTGACAGTTTTTGAGTTGGTATTTTTATTAAAATATTCTGTACCGTGCAAATAACACTTACAGCCTACACTTGTACCGTGCACGTCACCGTTTACTTTGTGACGACTGTTTTCTGCCGCCACAGTCCCGTTCATAGCTCGTTATTGGCGTCTGCATTTCTTTATTCTTTCGCCAAATCTTCTGTAACTATGGAACAGACCGTCTGCTTCATGTTTACACCAGCACGCACATGCCCAGAGTACCTGAACTGCCACTAGATGTGCCTGCTGTGGACGGAGATCGTGGTGGTTTTAATTCTCCGTTTGTAAACTAAAATGGAGCAGTGTGGACGGGGCCTTAAGTGCAATTTATACTTCTGCGTTAAATCGATGGCGTAGCCTCTGCGTAGCCTACGCCGTTGCCTGATGTGCACCTCCTCAAAAATGTAACTAAATGTCGAGTCGACGCGGACAGTAAGCGGCTGGGTAGCCTCGGATTGCCTCCGAGCCGACGGGAAGTAACCTGCGCTTTAAAATAACATTTACTAGCCGCCAAAACGCCGTCTGTAACATAGTGGATCAATATATTTGACCGTCGCAAACCGAGCGAAATGACTTGTTTTGCTATCAGAATGTGATCCACTCGCTCGGTGACATTCGAAAAGGCTACACCAGCCGCACGTTTACAATTTTACCCCCATTTACATTAGCGGAGGGCTAAACCGCAAGTTAGCCTGCTCAGCCCGGAAAAAGTCAACACAGCGGACGCTGTAGCGCTACTGCCGACTAGCGTTTGAGGGTGTAATTGCAGAATGACGGACACACCTACGCACAAGTATAAAGGCGTAGGTACGCACGTAGACCCTACGCAGGACTATAAATGGGCATTTAGACAGCTGCCCCTAAAGCCTGAGGGCAGAACCCAGGGCAGCCGGCTCCTTCTGCCGGGATACGAACTTCTGGGTTTGGTGGGAGTGGCTTAGCGGAGTGATATGAGCAGCAGAGAGAGATGCAGAAGGTTTTACTTTAGATGTTAAATTTTTGAAGACATGCAGCTTTAATTTGAGAAATGGGGGCTGATAAACAGACACGTCCCTTTTTCAGGAAACTGCATTTTAAAGATAATTCTGTTAAAAATCCAAATCACTTTACAGATCTTTACTGTAAAGGGTGTAAAGAACGTTTTTCATGCGTGTTCAACCCTAAACAATTAATGGGTGCAGATGGTAGGTATAAAAACACACCAGATACTGATTGTTACTGTTGATTTTGACCACCCCCCTTTGTTTGGGGACACATTTTTACATTTCTGACACTTCATGTTCATACAAATAGAAACACATAAGTGAGAGGATGTTTCTCTTTTTGCCGAGTGTTTATTTATCAGCAAACTGCGGAATAATTCTGATTCACTAATGTGTGCGGTGGTAAAAACTAAAATTGGCCAGTGCACACGTGTCAAGAATCCAATGGTGATGTTGCGTTCACACTAATTTTGTGCACAAAGAAAGAACATTTCTGCGCACATCTTTAGTGACAAAGGCTCACAATTTGGTTCAGTTTCTGCTGTCAGACAGCTAAAAGAAATGTTACCTGCACTGCTGCACTAAGACGTCAATCGAATGACTTGTACATTTTTAAATACAGGTTAGTGACAACAGCTGTGCTGCGTGATCGGCTGTACAGATCTATAAAACAGGGTGTGTCAAAAACACCAGCTTAGTCTGGATAAAAGGCGTTTTTAAATGATTTTCAAGTCCAAAGATGTCTGAGATAAAACTGAAATAAACTGACTGGCAGGTGAACATTTTTAAACAGCTGCAAAAAAACAGAAACACTCTTTTGACCCCTTCGAGTTTTATTCCTGTAATTGAGGAAAAATCTCGCTGCGGGTTTGTTCTTACCTTTCTGCATTATGATTTGCAACAGGACACGTCATCACTTTATCTTGTGTTGCTGCACATCCAGATTCAACTTCACACTTCAACAGACAAAACTCTCAGGGACAAACAGCCTCGGGTCAAGAAAAATCTCTCCAGTGGATCCAAGTGTGAAAACACCTTCAGACCCCATTTACACCGCTGACCGCATCGCTGTCGGACGAGGAAAAGACATCAAGGCATGCTGGAGCTCAAAGAGACACGCTGGTACCACAACTTGTTCACGTTGTCATGGTGATGACACAGTACACACACACACACACACACATACAGTATAACCCAAACACATTCTCAGTCACAGTGTCACACCTGAAGCTCCCGATGTTTTCTGCTGCAGGGAAGCTGCTTGCTTCAGACAGAAAGAGGTTAAAGCAACATTTTCATAAACTGTTTCATATTTAAATAGAGAAACCTTCTAAAGCTTGTTATTAACTGTTTCTATCATCTAATGCAGGCCGCACACTACAGGATAACTGGGCCAATTCTGGCTCCAATTCGCCCTCCTGACAATCACAGGGACGCTCCCGAGCAGAGGCTGGTCAGAACCGAAATGAATAAAGGTTCAGTGTGTAAGTTTTAGTGCCATCTAGTGGTGAGGGTTGCGAACTGCAACCAGTGGCTCACGCTGCATTCACGCGCTCCTCAGATGGTCCCATTTCCTGAGTTGGGAAGTCGTTCTTCTGACTTCAGTGTGTGTTCATGTGCTGTTAAGTCGGAATGTGAAATCTACATAGACGCTACTACACCCACAGAGAAGTAGGGGTATCATGTCTGTTCCCTGAAGGTACATTTGTAAGGTACAGAAATGATCCTTAATGTGTTAACCGTGGCCTTTTGTTGACTTTTAAGGTACAGAGTCATTGCTGACCGCAAAGGGTACATAACTGTATTTTTAACAAGCTTAAGGTACAGGCAGATGATGCACAACGCCTCGTACCCTGCTAGGGTACAGCTGGAGCGACAAAACCTTTCTACCCTTTTAGGTCCATTGCTGTACCTTGATTTCTGTGTGTGCAAAGATGAGTTGGATTAACATTATCAGAGCACATAAACAACACGCAGACATCCAGTTCACTCTACATGGGCAGCAAACTACCCGTTACTTCTTCTTCTTCTTTGTAAGTATTCATCGTAGTGATCAAACGCAGTCTGTTGAGTAGTTTGTCCGATTGGCCTACTGTGTAAACATGGCGGCGCAACATGGTGACGCCCATGTAAGAGGACCTGCGGTCGAAACGTAATAAAAACATAACGGGTCATTATGTAAGGTCTTTATACACCACTGAAAATATAGTTATGGATATTACATTGCATTTCTGGCAATAGATCCTCCTAAATATTACGCACTGGACCTTTAAAGTTGCCGACTTGATCAGACTTTTCAATTCTGATGAACACGTCTTAACAAAGATGCTTTAAACTGATAACTTATTGTAGTTTTGCTGATTTGTTTCTTTTTTAATGGAGCTTCAGGTCTAAAAGGTGTAACTAACAGACACTTATTAACATATCAGATTGAGTAAGAACATTTTTTCTGTTAACGCCCCTCTATTTCTCTTTAACATAAAATAGTTATTACTAACTCGCCCACTTCTAAGCACTGGGAAAAGCAATGACAAAAAAAAGAAACATCAAAAATCTTGAATGTGAAATAACTTTCATTGCTCCAACTTTGCGGTGATGTCGGAGCACATCTCTGATTGTGACAAAATAGTTTTCTGGACGTTTAAGTGAAAGTTTTTTGTTTCAAAGTGTCCACAAAAAAAAGGTGCATCCCGAGAAACTACCTCATACTTACATGAAAATAAGGTTTGTTCTTATAGCTGTCTAAAGATGATTTATATCTGAAGTTAATATGCGGCTTGGTAACCTCCAAAGTAAATCTTTCCTTTTCTTTCCCAGGACATTGTTTCAGTGGAGAGAAAGTAACACAAAGAGGGAATATTCTACTAAAAACACTGCAACTTTGGCAGATATC